TTTTAATATCACACCTCATCTTTACTTCACTTGTGCTCAAAAGTTGGTGCGGGCCTAAATATTTGCAGGTATCCTCTTGCCCAAGTTCTTGGATACTTGTGCCACACATCAGGATGAGTTTGTCAGGATCAAAGATTTTCCCTCTTTTCACGTGCACTGCAGCGCATTTACCAATGACAAACAAACAGAGTATACAAATAGAGTCGCTAAATGACTAAACAAATTCAAGCAACTAGGAAAGCTGGTTCTTATCTCTGGCGTATAACTTGAGATCGTCCATGTAGAACTTAATGAGGATATATGGATTTTTGGTGATTACATATCCCATCTCTGAATCTCTTAACATGTTGCCATGCAGTGTTGAATTAATTTCACATACTGGGCATTTACTTTGTAGAGGCGCAGGATACACAAAAGCCACGAATGAGGTATCGAGTCGAAGGCCTTGGTATAATCAATCCATCCAACAGAAATGTTGCGTTGTCTTTTTTAAACTTGATTGACTACAACACTGTCTACTATCATTAATTCTTTGCAACCTTGAGCAACCTTTCTGCAATCATTTTGCTCTGGTGCCAGATTATTGGAAGATTATTGGTCCATCAGTACCGGGCGCTTTCCAATTCTGCATCTTTGTGACTGAATTGAAGATATCTCTCTGCGTAATATTAGTCTAGCGCATCTGAGGTATATCACAACACTTCCCTTCCTCTTCTGCTAACCAGTAAGCTCCATCATCATGGGTCTTGAGGATGCTCCATACATTACTAAAATATTCCTCCATCTCGGAGCTTTTAAGAATTGTTTCAGGCATTTTTTCTCACTGAGTTGCCTGAAAAATTTCTTCTGGTCGCATGAATATAAAGCATTCTGTTGTCTTCGTTTCATTGCTTTATGATATCTTCTTATACGGCACCCAAGGGCTGCGACGCGCTGTTTGAGATTCTTAAGTCGGTCTTGGAGCCTCTCCTCGAAATTCGTCTGGGTTCTTCGAATTCTCATCTTTCGTCCAATCGCCTTCACTGCATTGGAGTCCATTCTAGTTGCATTCTCAGGAGCTTTTAAGAAGGCTGTCAGAGTGCCAATGTCCCTTCGGAAGCTTTCAATTTTACATTCAATATGCCTCAACCACGGGGGCTTGGTGGGCTTAGCGGACTGTTCTGTCTTTCGATGTGTTCAATTTATTCTTTACGGGTTTACCAAGATCCTGTACAACAGCAATGGCTGCCCAAGACACGTAGCTTATCACTTACTCAAGCGCTATAAATTGTTCTACATTACTCTTAAGCAAGTTATTGACAGCTTTAACCATTGCCGCATTTGTATGTGGGCCATATCCCAGTCGTGGTATACATGGTCTGGAGGGTAATGGAAAACCATGACAGTATTTCTTCATGGCTTCATAATGCACAGGCCAAGAGAATTTCTCAGGCACTGGGAGGCAGGATTCATCAGAATTCGTCTCCACAGACCATTCCTGATTAGCTTGAGTGTCTTCATTATTTCTTCCTACATTACTCTCATTCTTATTCTCAATGCCCAAGGATGCTCTTACATTCTTCCTAATGGTATTGATCTCTGCAGCTGAGATAAAGTTCCTTACAATGATGGTGCGCTGCTGGTCGCACACTCTCTGCTCGGATACCGGTATGTTCGGATGCAGCTTTAACCATTCTTCGTGAAATCGGGCTGTGTATCCTTCCATGTCCGCTTCAAGTCTGGTAGCCAAAAAGTACGCATGCATAATGGATATATTTAACTCCTTAGTCCATTTCATACGCTGGCGTTTGCTCTGAAGTCGGGTGGGGTGAGCTGTTGTCTCACCCAAGCTTCGACCCCCCGTATTTTTTTGTATTGAGGTCGCCATAAGTGGTGCAGCGCCACACCTTCCCGGATGGTATGAGAAGGCTCCATTGCTCTCCACTGGCACAGGTAGCACATTTCTCACTGCGAGCCCAGTGCCAGAACTCGCAGCGCTGCCTTGCAAGTGCAGGTCGCATGCGTCACGAATCCTTTGACTTCTTCTCGTAACTGCTTCTCCACCAGCGGACCGGGTAAGAGTCGAGAATGGAAGCACCTCTCGCCTCTGAGCCAGAGCCCCATCTGCGCACCATCACTCAACCTCTAAGATCGTAGCTCAGGCACATACAGCCCGCAAAAATATATGGATGGCTATTTCGGATGCTACCCCATCTCCCGGTTGCCAGTTGGTTCGCCGATCCCTTTCCCGTAAGTCTTGTGCACAGGTCACCAGCTTTTGGAAGAACAGACATGTATCCGATTTGGCGGGTTGCCATTGCCCTGACAGCAGACATGCAATAGTGCCTTTGCCCGTCCCCCACGTGCCGTAGCTGTTCTTTCAGTCCACGTAGGGTTGGTCTTCGGGGAACGTAAAAAAAGGGTGAAATGGATAGGGAATATTTTGAAAACAATGTAGAAAACAGGTAAGAGACAATTAAGGTAAAATGTTGCCAATGGAATAGAGGGAATTGCGAAAAAAGGAATGGAGAACGAAAAATGGATCAATTTTAGATGGGACAGCGAACAGCTGCTCCTATTATTCGCCTTTTACGACACGGGGAGATCCCGTGGAGCTATTCTACAAAAACACCCGGATACCACACGGGTTTTATTATTATTATTATTATTATTATTATTATTATTATTATTATTATTATTATTATTATTATTACAACTTATTGGCGGAATACCTACATTACAACACGGCAACATTGAGATCAAAGCAGGTTCGAATTACATAGAATTTATTTAAAACATATTTGTAATATATAAAATAAACATTCTAATAATTAAAAAATATGTCTAACTCAAACAAATGGAACTAATTTTGAAAAATACTGATTTTTCAAACAAATCATCAGGCAGAAAACACCTTGTTGCCGAATAAACTATAAAACCTACAGATGAAAATAGCCTTCCAAAGTAGTGTTATACTGAATAAACGCTTTCTTATTGTTACTCTTCTTCTTCGTCTGTATTTGAAGTATTTTAAGTACTTTCATTTTTAAATAAATCTACTTTACATATTTAAATACATCTCTAAAATATGAGCCCAAGAAACTCCAACAATCCGTTTTCAAATACAAAATGTATTTCAAATACAAGTATTTAAATACTGCCCAACTCTGCTCATTACAAATCGTATAACATTTGGTGCAAATACTAAATTTACTCGTACATCAATATATTGAAAATATAAATTGTAAAAGAAAGTAAAAATGCGAGAAAGCAACAATGAAATAAATATTGGCATTTTCAATAGGAAATTGTAATTTGAATTAAGTTAATTATTTTTCATATCGTTCGTTCAATTTTCCTCGTGGCCCATAGTTGCTGTGAAATCTGTATATATTTCATTCATTTCTAACAGAAATTACGCAGAACTACTTTTTTTTCAAAAATTTGTACATGACCTTTTATGAAGAGCTTATTTTCTACAACAGACTTTGTCTGAGACAAAAATATCTTCAATTTTGTAGTTTTGTAAAGGTTTTTGCAATTTTCGAAAAACGAGCAATACCCGAAAATGAGACTTGCACCATATTTCATACAGTTCCTTAATACATTTGTGGGGAAATTTTAAAGAAAAAATGGAGCGGTTTTTGACATTTTTTTTTGCAAATTTCAATCGCAAAATACACAAAACTACTTCATTTAAAAAAAAATACTTGTTATTCATCAGACTTTGTTTGAAGCAAAAATCTCTATCTTCGATTTTGTAATTTTTAATTTTTTTTTTAAATTTTAAAACAACATTTAACATTTTACTACGTAAGTAAAGACAACTTAAAGAAAAAATGGAAGCGGTTTTTGAGAATATTTTTTATAAATTTCAATTGCAAAATACGCAAAATCTACTCGTTTTTCAAAAAATTGTTCATGGCCGTTTTTAAAGAGCTAATTTTGTACAACAGACTTTGAAAAAAATTTCTATCTCCAATTTTGAAATTTCGAAAACAATTTTTCCAATTTTCGAAAAATTGGGGATGTCAACAACAGTGAAATCTGCACCATTATTTTAAATGTGCTTTGCACTTTTCAACAACAACATTTAATCAAAAAAATTGGAACCATTTTTTTAAACCTTTGAAAATGTCCCAGGGGCGTCAAATAAAGTACCCCCAAAATTAAAATAACGGTTTCAAATTCCAGGGTCCGCGACTTCAACTAGAACGATTGAGGAACATCAATTTTGGAGAAAATCGCTTGAACAGAATAATAGTTTATGAAATTAGTTTATAACGTTAAGCTTTATTGCATGAGTACATGTTTTGAAAACGAGCGAGTTTTCAAATTTGTAGAATGTAATAAAGTAACATTATAAACGAGTTGCATACTATATTTTTTTGTATAACAGCATTTTATATTTATAAGAGAATCAAACTTAATTTTGCGAAACAACTTCCCTGTGACGACTCGGGTATTTGACATCGTGCGAGTAAACAGTGGTCGTCAGTTCCTTTTAGCTGTACCTCCCCCCGATTCTCTCGCTACGATTGGCTGATTGTATGATGACGCAATCATTCGTGACATAAAATGTAACTTCGTCTTATCTAACTACGTCATTTTTGCACTAAAATGCCCGATTACGAACGATTTCTTGCAACAGAACAGGTTCTTTTACAATGCTGGAATACAAAAAAATCGGTTTATGCGCTAGAGTTAGCACAGACGGGCGGACAGACAGATGTTTTGCCGTCAATCAATTTTTCGTTATGAAGGACCCACGAAACATGGGTTCTGGCTCCATCACGTGTTACAGGATTTTTTTTCTATATTTAGCAACTGGATTTATCCAGTTTTTCCTTATCAGGGCCCGGCAATACGAGTTTTTGTGTCGAAAATTTGCCGTTTTTCCAGCGCACGAAAACAGTACTGTCGCTTCTTACGTTAGTAAATGCGATAAAGTAAAATGTCTATCCAAAGGTGCTATTGCTTCTCTTATCCCAGCACCTGGAACCCTTGTGGCCACTTCCGAGCAAACAAAATACGCGCGTCACTGCTTCTTGGTAGTTCAACTTGTGGCAGCCAGGTAGCAATAGTGTGGAGAGTGGGCGTGGGTTCTGGGTTCAGGTTTGTTGGAGTGTTTGTGGATGTTGATTTTGGAACTGTCAGTTTAATTGCAGGAAAAGATTTTCGTGGTCACTACATTCAACATGAATATTGTTAATTTGGGTTGAGATCTCACTGAAATGAATGTTCGATTATGTTTGAAATTATGTCTTGAGTCGTGTTTTTGTGTGTTCAACAACAGTGAAGGTTTCATCCAAAAGAATCCCTATTGAAATAAATTTCGCCGGTTTACATTTAATACTTGTTATCTTCTATGTAACTGTGCCACAATGATAATAACAATGTAAGAAGTATTTTTTGGTGCAATGAATGTTTGTCTTCACTATGTCAGCAGATGTACAAAATTGACATGCAAGGCATTCATTGTAGGAAGATTAATGATTTGTTTTCATAAATTGTTCATGAATTCATTGCCTGGAAAATAATTAATGCATGTGCACTGAAGATGAAGTGTTCTGTATATACCAGAGGTTTCGTTAATAATCTTCAAACGCAAAAGGGTTAAAGAAATGAATCGAAGAGAAAGTGTGGTAAGATTAATTTGTTTGTCATCTATCTTTAAATAGAATTATGAATAATAGAAGACACTATACTGACAATACAAAATTATTGTTCTTATCATTTTGTGACCAGTGTGAAGATGAATGGTCTGAAATACAGCAGAGATTTCAAAAAGAAGGGCTGGATTTTGAGAATCTTGTGCCAGAAGAAAAATTGTTACATGTATGGAGGTGGTTGGTTGATGCTGAAGCCAATTTGCGAACTTCACGTAGGCAGTTGGAAAAATTACGAGAATTGCGAAGTGAAGAAATGGAAGTGAGTATAACGTGAAGTATGAAAAAGCTTTATTTTGTGCAGTGCAATGTTATTTGTAAATTTGGTTTTAATCATAATATTCACTCAGGAAATGGAAAATTATATTGGTCAGATACGAGATCTTGCAGATAAACGTGCAGATCATTTGGAATCAGAAACTGTTAATTTGCGCACAAAGCTGGAGTCATCTGAGCAACAAGCTGCTACTCTTGCAACCCTTCTTGAGAAAAGTGGCCTGGAGTGCATAGCTGAGGAATCTCTGGGTGAACAGGTGTTTAAAGTATATAGTTTTTTCTTCTTACTATCTATACTCATTCTCCCTTGCTCTTGACACTAACATGATTTTATTTGACAATATTCCTATTGCATTATATTGAATTGTATGAAGATGTGTCTATGTTTATGCCACACTGAAATTTCACAGGTTGCTTTCCTAATAGCAGACCGAGCTAAATTAATGGAAGAGCTTGATGTAGTGAAGAAAATAAAATTTACTAATGGTGTAAATGGACTGAATAAAGAAGGAGATTTACTTTCGGAAATCATTAAGGTATATTCTAGTAATAGAAGCATATTTTAATTTTGAATATCTTTTTAGTAATAGTCCATTATAATACAAGTCTATGTATAATTGTGAAACACAACTTGCGGAAAATCTAAAAGCCATTTATTTCAGGAATATGGGTAGAACATTTTTTTTATCAATTGAGAATACACACAAAAATGTATATTTCCTATGTATTATTTTGTGTTGTCTGCTACAGTCTGAAAACAGGTTAATTAAACCTCCTAACAGTATCTGTTGTTAATTTATTCATTTGAAATGCTTAAGACAGTTAGGGAATGGCCCTTTTGATAAAAACATTTCATTTGCTTTTGCTCATTTTCAGCAGAGCCTGAAATTATAAAATGTGACTAGATTTGCATAACTGAGTAATTGGGAATCCACATATTTGTTTGGAATCCTTCATGGATTATGCAACACATCTCTGAAAGTTATTTAAAGTAACTTTTGTTTTTCCAATATCCACAATGGTTTGGGGTCCAAAGAACTAGTACAAAATTAATAGTTCTGAATTTTTAGTAGATTTTGTTTCCTTGGAGTCCTTGCAATTTTTACTTTGGAATTCTTACTTATGTTTATTTTAGAATTTATTTAACATTAAAACTGTAACATTCAATGGGGAGAAATGCAATATGTGTGTGGTTTCTTGAGCATTCGTATCTGTTATTATTCATTTACATATTTATTAAGGTAAATTATGAATGCAGGTGCAATGATTGTTTTTGTCAGATTTGGTATGAAAACATTCAAAAGGTGTAATAAAAGCAGTTTGCAAAGACAAATCGGGTACAGATTTTGGGTGTTATCCCAAGTGTTTTACACGAATGTTTAGACTTACTGCTGCAAAAAATTGGAGAACAATTATTTCAATATCTACATTCCTCTCAGAGCACAAGATAACACACAAAGATAATGAAGCTACTTTTATGCCCAGAAGCAAAACAAAGGACCATCTCAGCATTCGCTGAAAGGATGAGGGAAAACGGAGGAAAAGCCTGATAGAGAGGGGGTCATTGACCCAGAAGCTGAGGTACAATACTTGTTACAGGCATTGTGTTAAACTTTTCCAGTCCAATTTTCCAAATGGGTACTTATATATTAAATATTATTGTTAAAACCAACATTATTTTCCTTTTTGATGCTCAGTATAGTCTCTACAGAAACCGTGATGCAGAAGAAAAAATGTACTTGGCACTTAAACGTGAGTCGATTTTAATCATTTAATGTCATCTGGTAGAGTGTTGAAAAATGATGTACATATATTATGTATTATGTAATTTTTCTTGTAGTGAGCTATTGGTACTGATATCTGATGTATGTGATTACTACGTTGAGTGTAATAGTTGTAGATGTCCATATTCGTTGAAAATGGATTCCTGCCCTTGAGCAAGTAATTTTTTACAAAAATTACTGATTTGTAAATCAAGAGGAACGGTAATGGTAGAATTCCTAGCTTAATAAAGTGAGTCTTGCAAGAATCATATGGGTAGTATTCATGCATTTCTACATATGATTCTTACAATTTATTTTTGTATTCTAAAAGACTGCTATAGGATGTGTTTCCCCAGAATTTGCTGTATCTCAGGTAGAAATGAGAATTCGCAAAATATATGTGGACTGACTGAATTTGAAAGTATATGGATAGTCCATTCGAGGTTTGACTGAACTGAGAGACCCAAAAACTTGCTACCTTAACATCAGTCAATTAAACATTCATATTCACTGGTGAGAACAATTGTACATACATTTGATACGGAAAACTGCATTGAAAACAATTTGAATCGTCCTATGGTGTACTAGTGTTTTTAAAACATTAATTGCAAAGAATATTTGTTTCATCAACAAAGAGAACTGTTATTCTGTTTTGAATTTCAGAGTTTACTTACAGTAAGAAGAGAAGAGGACCTAAAATTGAATTCGTCAGGACCCCATGCACAATTGTCTATGAGTAAATTATGTCCCTTTATCCGAGTACGGTATTACTATTCTCTGAAATTGTTGTCTAAGGTACAAACATAACCCATCTAAAGCAATACTAATGTAAATGTAGTTTCACTATGCACACATTTTGTTGAACTCTCCTTTCGATTGTAATGGTAGAAGTAAGAAGTAGAAGTAAGGGCGAGTTACTTTGTTGTTAGCAATGAAGGAAAATTATATCTGCAATTTGTTTAACATTCGAAATAAGTTTTTTTTAACTTGGGAACAAAACTATCAGGTTTTTCAAATATTCCTGATTACAAGCTTTTTTAAATTCTATTATTATTTATCTTTAACTTTTACGCGTTCTTCAACTATTTATAATTAAATGATGGGAAGGGATTCTGGAACTCAAGAAAACATACACAGATGATCTTCTCTCCCATACGTCATATACAGTTTTTAGTGTTTTTTGACTAAAATCTAAATACAGCGAATTCCATAGGGAGGTAATTTTGAAAGTAAATTATCACATACATTTGAGAGAACTAAAAGTAATCCAATTGGTGCTTCTATTTGAACCCCTGATGAAACATCTGTAAGCATGAAATTATGGCTCCCATAGATTTTGATTTTCTAAATCCAAGTGGGCAATCCGAAAATGTTTCGTATTTACTGAGAAAACTTTTGATCCTCTGAAAAATTGATTGAAAATATCCAAAATTTTAAAATTCGCCGTTTTCCGGCCCACGTTAACAATACTTTTTCTCACGTTCATAAGTGCGACAAAGTAAAAAGAAATGTATATGAAATTAATGAAATAACTAATTGTGGAGAACAAATTTCATTTCAAGAAAAGTCGCTGTTTTCAATATATTACTTTTAGGAAGGTCCGAAAAAATCAGTTTTAAAATTTCAGAATTGACAGTTAAAATTAAACCGTGCCATCATTATAAGTGTATATTATTCTATTCTTACGAGAATTTTAAAGAAAACCTTAGGAGCAATTTTTGAGAAAATTTCGGCAGTGTTCCAGGGGCTTCCCCAAAATTTAGTGTGGCATTTTTTTAAATTCAGTTTTAATATTGTTTGCGGGCTTAATCTCGCCATTTAATGTTGGTGTGCTGCAGCGGCGAATTTACCATTTCCGAGGCCCCAAGCTATAATATTTTTGTTTTTTTCTGGCATGTTATTGTTACTAGGAAGTTTTTGCACTGTTTAACGTACGTAACGTACAGCGGTCGAAAGCAATCTCAATCTGCGCTTGCGCAGATGCACAAGTCATGAGAAGCTCAAACTGCGCATGCGTAGATGATCGATAGCGATGTCGATTGCTAACGCTTCGATGTGTAAACATTTGAGAGTTTTTGCTCCCTCAAACGTTAAAGCAATCAAAAGCACTGTCAATCTTTTGCGCATGCGCAATTCAAGTTTCGCATCACTTCTGTGCATGTGCAGAAGATCGAGATTGCTGTCCGCTGAGGCGTTCAAAAACTCCCTACTGCCTTTGATACGGAGCTCGATATACACTGCATAACTTACCTGGATTTAGAGGATCGTGATTACGAGGAAATGTGAAAACAGTTGAATGATGCTACATGTTCTCTTATGGAGGGAATTCGAAAATGCGTGCAGCCTACTAACTACACTTGTCTGTTCTACCTGGGGGGTTCACTCCAGGGTGGACAGCTAGGGCTTTACCATTGCTCCGCACCCCCTCCCCCCGCGGGCGCACAATTATACTTTCGGAATAGTATTCGGATCCCGCCGGAACGCGTTTACCCTTTACAGAGACCTCCCTGTTGGGGTTGCTTTCGAAGCGTAACTCACAATACGCCGGAATGTCTCTTCAATTACCCAAGAGTATTAGGCACTGCCACGAAGAAACCAAGAACCTATCTGAGGGCCGCCCGGGCCAAGGCTGCCCCTCACTGCCCAAGGCTGCTGCTCACATTTTATTCGGTGATTAGATGTTGAAGTCCCATTATCATATCTAATATGTAGTGTAGTCAGAAACCACACAATCGAACATTTGTAGTTTCTTTAGCCCGAAAAAAAAAAAATAGTTTTCGTCTGTGGTCTGCTTATCTACGAACAAAGCTATCACCTAAACCGCACAGAGGATTTTCTGCGAAATTTATTTCACCCCGTCTGTCTGGCTGATGACGCCGCAGATCTTCTATCTTTTACTTTCTCGTACACGTACATATATGCGGAATAATATAACTAGTATAAAGTTATGTAATGCATCTGAAGATTGATTTCGAGGTTTCAACGGAAATACAACTTGGGGTCCCCTGATACCGAAAAAGTTCATTTTTTTAAAACGTCCGTCAGGTTGTCCACTACCATACGTAGGATTTTGTCAAAACTGGATATTCCCCGATCGATCTGGCTCGTCTCCAGGAGCAGCAATTTTGAAAGACTTTCTTTAAAATTTGGAGATACTTTACATGAAGCACCCGGGACATTTTCAAAATTTTCTCAAAAATGGCATTCATTTTTTCTTGATTTTTTTAAGTATAGAGTAAAATACACTTATGCAGATGACGTGGGCCCGTTTTTCACTGTTAACTCGGAATTTACGAAAATCGCAAATGTGAATTTATTCCGGGGTCTTCGTACAACTACAAAATTGAAGATAGAGAATTTTCCTTCAAGTAAAGTTTGTTCTCCATATTTAGTTCTTTCATTAAGGTTATGTACATTATTTGAACATGTTAGTAGTTTTCGCGCAACATTGCATGCAATATGTGCAATCTTAAAAAATAGCAAAACCAAGATTTTCTCAAAAACGCCTCCAATTTTTTCTTTAAACTTTTGGTAGGAATAGTGCTAAATCTTGAGATGATATAGATGCTGTATTGCCCTATTCTTTTGTTTTTCAAAAATTACAAAATGTAATTTTATTGGCTTGACTTTCACGTCGTTAATGTTTACATTAGCGGCGTTTTGTGTACATTATTGCATTTACAAGAACATGTACTTTAAATGACAGAGTCGTGCCTAATTTCATGCACAATTTGCGTAAGATCTCGTTTTTCTAAAAAAAATGTAGGTTTCCTTTTTTAAAGTTGATTTTTAGTACAGATGTTCAAAAGACAAAAATATCTGCAAATTTTGTAGTATTGAAATGTTAGCGTTTTGCACTTTTCGAAAATACGGAGTCCCCGTCCTTTGATATGTTAGAGAGGCAGTTATAACGAAACTCACGAGCCGAACACCACTCAAAGGCAATCATATATAAGTGATAAACAGAATACATTAACACAGATCAGATGAGCGTGTGCAAATACCGCGCCGTACTTATGCATACTGGGGACGCTACGCATAACACATAATATCTAACACTTCTCCTCGAGTCGAGCCACAAAGACCACTCAAGAAACGCATTCCGACCACTTCAATACAGCGTTGGTGTTTAGAGCCAAACCGGCCTTTGGTTAAAAAGACTTCCGCCTGGTCTTCAGAAGGAACATATATGTTGAATTCCATCCTCTTCAACAAATCTCGCACGAAACGATGGCGCACATGTGCTTGCTGTTGGCATGTTAGGTCGAGCGGTTCCCTGGCAACGTGAGTAAACCATGGCTGTCACAGAAAACTGTCAAGTTACTGAAGTTCAAGAAGCCCAATTCTTGGAGGAATTTTCTGAGGAAAACTATAGTCTCTGACAAAGACATGTACTCGGACCGCAGAGTAGACAGGCCCGCTGCTTTCATGAGTCCCTTGAAATCGGTCTCGTTCAGCTTGAAAAGGAAACCAGCGTACGACCTATCTTCGCGGCACTTCTCCCAGTCACCATCGGTGTACTGTTTTTAAAGATCCTAGACCTGAACCGTATCTCAGATTGAGCCCTTCAGATAACGTAGCACACTTGGCAGTCTTTCTATGATCGGAACCTCAATAATTATTCAATTGTCCTGAATAACTTGCCGCAATCGCAATGTCGGGCCGTGTGGTAGGTGCCAAGTATGTGAGAACTTCAACATGCTCACGGTATGGATACTTCAAGTCTTCCAGGGATTGGATGAGTTCTTCAAGAACTTGACACTTGTATCCACAGGGGTAGATATTGCATTGCAACTAGTCATGCCAATCGCAACAGCAGATCCTGGATATAACCTCGCAGATACGTCACTTGCCTCTCCGATTACTCGAATTCTATCCCCAGGCAGTGCTTGACGAAACCCAAATCCTCGACATCGAATTGATCCCTTCGTCAGCTTTGTGACCACCTTTCGTTGCGTGAAGCTATCGAAATATCAACGTAAGTTTCGATGAAAGTTATGTCTTCCCCTGATCCGATGTAGAATAAACAAGGATCATACTTTGAAGAGGATCCCAAATTCATTGTTGCGTCCAGTGTCGGTACCAACTTCTTCCAGCTTGGCGTAGTCCGTATAAGAACTTGTTCAAATGGTACACCTCGTCACCATTGGAAAGATTTTTAATCTTCGCTCTCGCTCCAACATGATTTCCGCCTTCAGAATTTACGATATCTTGTAGAATTTCTTGAAGATTCCCTGGTTGCTCAACGTAGATTTCCTCTTCGAAAACTCTGTTGAGATATGCGGTTTCAGCCACAGTGCCTGTCGCCACTCGTTTGCGTCGGAACCATATAACGCCTCTTTCATGGGCACTTCAGACAGAACTAGTGGTGCTATAGAATGGCACAGACCTTCTCTTATACGTTTTCCTTTGGTGTGGGCTAGCTATTCGGACTTGCCACATACTCTTGCCAGCTACTATCTATTGCCACCCAAAGTACATTTTTTAAAAAAAACTTTTTTTAATTTTATTAACAGAAAAAACGTCCTAAATGGCAATTTCTATTGAAAAAATTGGGTTGGTCTTAAGAAAATGGTGCTTAAACGCTACTGTAAATTCGAAATATAAAGCTTAGAAAGCTTTGAAAGGAAAATTTTTATTGTTCGAAGAACTTCAATAAGTTATTTGAAGCACTTTAACTCACAAATAGAACAGTGTTTACAAATTGCTGGAAACGTGCTTGTAAACGGCGTGAGAAATGTTTTTTAAAAAAATACATTTTTATAATTTTTGGAAAAAAATACCCAAAAATAAACTACGTCATATTAAACAGTACAATTAGCACTACCAATTTCGAAATGTTTGAAGAAAAAGTTTGGAGCCGTTTTTGAGAAAATGTGTGAGCGTTTCTGAAAATGCAAGTTTTATAATAGTTTTCACAGAAAACGGTTGTGTTTTCGAGAAACTTTATATGGCATTATTTAAAAAGCACATGTACTCATCAATATAATAATGGGAAAAGTCGCAGCTAATGTAAATATTAACAAATGAAATAAATTACAGTTTTGTAATTTTTGAAAACAAACAAACAAAGGAATAGAGCAACATGACATTTTTGTCATTTCATAGAGTACATATAGCACTAAACATACCAGAAGTTTAAAGAAAAAATTTTGAGCCGTTTATGAATAAATTTTGAAAATGTCCATGGGGCTTTAGGTAAAAAAATTAATGAATGTTTTTCAAAATCGCGGAGCTTTGACTCAGACCACAGAGACGGGGGTTTATTCAATTTGGAAAAAATCTATGCTTAGTGTTGTTCTAGCGCTAGCGTTGTGTTGTTCACATACACCAGACATGGACGTTTTGCCGTCAATCAACTTTTCGGTATCAAGGACCTACAAAACGTAGATAGTGGCTACACCACGTGTTTGATGAATTTGTTTACTTAATTTATCAGCGGTTTTATCCACTTTTTTGTTACCGGGGCCTGGCAATGAATTGTTTTCTGCCGAAAATCCGCCGGTTTTTTGGCGCAGCATTACATAACTTTCCTTATATTACGTGTATTACTCCGTATATACGTATGCATACGGGAAAGTAAAAATTAACTCTTCTCTTGAATCTTCGACCTCGCACAAAACTGGAGCGTGCCTTATCGGTCTTCCCCTCGTACCGGACCTGATTGTTCTTGGTCAACCGCGTCTCCTACGTTCAATTTCTCGAGTAGGATGTCCCCCAGGAACATTACCTTCAGCTCTGTCTTAAGTTGCGTGATCCTAATGAGGATGCTTCTGTCTGGATGGAAACCGCAAATCCAATAAAAGAAATAAATTTATTTAGTACAACAGCAATTGTACTAAGGAAAACTAAATAGCTTATGTAGTCCTGTCTCCCAATGCCCAAAAGCTTCCATTGAGAATAAACTTCAATGAACAATTCCCTGCAGTACATAATTATTTCCTCTTCAAATATCGACTCAACAGTCTTACATTTTCAATTTACCGTGTAAACTGTGGGGAAAATCACAGATAACGAAAAGAGAAATTGAAACCCATATAAAGAAGATATTTTGGGAAAACTATTGAATGTAAGATGTTTTCTATTTGTTTTTCAATAAAGATCAGTATATTGTAAGCTTTTACAAACGTAAAGGGACACCTGTATGCAAGATCCATATACATGTACATGTATGGTTCTTGTCTGTGTGCAAGTAACTGATGGAATCCACTTTAAATAATGCTTGCAAAAAATTATCTTTGTGAGATGCAGAAGTGAACATATTGTACTTATTAGTATAATCACTTAATATGTTTGCTGTATTACTGTTATTCTCCAGGTTTCATCGGAAAAAGAGGTGCTTAAAAGAGAAGTTGCAGAAATGTGTGACAGAGTGCAGTTACTGGAGAAATCATCTCGGCAACTGGAACTTGATAATGAAAGACTGGCATTCAAGGTAAAATAAAAAAGTTATTGCAATTAGAATTGGAGTTTTGTAAAGAAAATGTTAAAAAATTATTTTAGAAATCAAGGTAGTCTTAAACCAGTTGTTCAAAATGCTCCTAGCATTATCCATTAATGAAATAAATAATGCACAATATACTTGCTATTATCCGAAATTATTGGGACCGAAACTACCATGGATACAAAAAACACCAATAATTCAGAATTAATTTGATAGGAATGTAAAAAGAGATAAAATATATATTTTTAGTTCAGTGTTAAAAAACGTTTCATAATAAATATTTGCATTAGTAACCAATTCAAATTCACATTCGAATTTTAAAATAACTTGCATGGAAACAATAATTATAATACCATACAAGAACTTCACAAAAAGTCTGATATTTGTCTGGGATAACTTCTTCCTCTCTAGAATGCAATGACGATGTTTCAACGCTGTAGATGCAATAGATTCAAAGTTTCCAGTGAATTACGTTTATTTTGTACTTGTCTAATTACTGCCTCGGTCAACAGACTCTCGGATAATCGCCAGTCTATTGTATTTGTTTTGAAGGTAATGCTTTAAGTTGGTTTACAAATGTGTCTTCTTTAATAGAAATTAGAATAGCCAAAGTTGTTTTGTGCATCGGTGCTATCTATAAGTATATGGTGTAAATTTAATTCAAACATTTTTTGCTACAACAGTATGTACTTTCTCATGATATTTTTAATGGTTATGTAATATTATAACATGACAAAAAATTCTTAAACAAACAAAGCATGAAAAATACATATATTTTTTAAATTCAAATGCATAAATGAAAACTCTGCCGTTGAATTCAGTGTATTCACGTTCTACATAAACATACCAATGATACACGATGCATATTTTAGCCATAAATAAAATTATTAGTTTATATTAACACGAAAGAAAAGGCAGCATTCATTATCGCCTTCTGTTATTAGTGCAGCATTACAACAATGGTTACAATCAACAATGACCACTAATTTGTATGGGCTACACATATTGCCAATTAGCATTGTTGATACCGCTAGTAAGAAAAGAGTAAATGAGAATAATTTTTTCTGTATGGGCTCTCCAATAAAGTTTTATGCTTCAAGATCACATAATTTAAATTCTACTACGGGTAAATGTAACTGAAATCGTAAGAGGAATGTTCAATTCCATTTTTTGTTAGCATTTGATTGGGATCCTTCATGCTTGTTAGATGAATACAAAAGTGAACAAACATCTTATTTTCAAAACATTCAAACCTCTTCATTTTTAGAGCAATTATAATTTTCCCTATCATCAAGTATTATAAAAGACCTGGTCCCTTTAAAATCACACTTTCACACTCATTAAGAATTTCTCTCCAACTACTTTATAATCAGGGAACGGCTTTCTATGTAAATACATATTTACTAAATAAGCTAATATCAACACTAATTTGTATTCTTTTTATGTTTCACGATGTGAAAAGTTCACAAATGCTACTTTTATTTTCTGCATATTTCCAAATGTTGGGTTTTGCTACATATTTGAATGAAATACCATATTTTTTCCATATTTCTTATAAAATTAGTCCGTATAGCATTTTACAACCCTGAATTTTCATTAAATACTAAAAATGCATCTCAACAATGAGAGTTAATAAATTTCAGTAATTCATTAAACATTAGTGTTTTTGAAATGCAGAGAGAATTGACAATGGGAAAAGCAAGTTAAGAAACTGTTGATATTTTAATTTATGTGAAGAATAGATCCACTCTTTGATCCTGAGGCCCTGTCTGAGGGGGCTTAGTGTCCTGCTGGCGGAAGGAGGCGTGAGAACTGTTAGATTCGTTTGACTGATGATCTTGATACCTTGATGGTCTGAGGGAAATGCACCTTCCTTCAATTCCAGGCTGCCACCCAGAAATTACATGATGTCACAACAACTAGAACATCAGATTTCAACTTATACTGTGTTAGCTGCAATCAATTCAGATTACTAAGTATTGGTTCAGTTCTATTAATCTCTCTATTAAGCGAGTGTAAATGCCAAAAATAACAATCAGCAATGTAAAATTAGATGTTACATTTCAAAATTTAAAGATGAAATTTTATCAAATGACAGTGAAATATTATTTTACCATTGTAATTTTTTATCATATTAGATCCATATTTAACTTAATATTTGATAAAAATAATTACATATATATTTACAAATTTCATGTATTTTTAGTCCACATAAATCCGTTCCCAGGTTATAATTTTATGAATGAGAGCCTAAATAATTGTGTTCTTTATGAATTATATGATGCAGAAATTTTATTTTACCAGAAGCATTAATTATTTCTGTATTGTCCACACAAACATTATTCAAAAGGGAATTAGTGTCGCACAGCAAAACAATTTCACGTGACATTCTTATTGTTATATGGCAACTTCATAACCAGAGTGGCCAAATAGTTGAAGAATGAATCTCAATTTATCGTATATTAAATGAAATTTTGTACAAAATTATTTTCAATAGTGAATTATAATAAAACTATAATTATTATTAAATTCATTAAGTTAATTATAATTAAAAGCAAAATAAAAGTCTGCAACACCGCACACATATCCAGCTTGATAAATCTTAAGAATTAAAATGATCTCCAGGCCCTGAAAGAAATGCTCAAATTAATAAATATTCCAAATTAATCATTTGGATATTACTTTTCTCTTCGAGCAAATGGTTGCCAGAAATTGTTTTCTTCCAGGTAATGTTTGTAACACATATGCATTTATATTTGCAACTAATAAAGATATACATTTTTGCACCTAATGTACTTCAATTTGTAATATTAACTTAAAGAATGAGAACTGATTTTCAGAATATCCAACTGCCTCTGCCTCTCAAATTACTTTTACAGACTGACGTTGCCTCAAACAAAACACTGGAAATTTGAATTAATCGCTTCAAATTGTTTTCCAATTTTCACAAAAAGTACTTACAATATTGAAAAATTGAACATAACCTTAATTGAAAATTTGTTTTTATGAACCCATTTCATTAAGGAAAAAAATCATAACTTCATAATTGTAGTTGTGAGAAAGCCCCAAGACAATTTTGATTTTTTACAATTTTCGAAACCTCTGGATTTTTATCCAACATGACTGCATTCCTTCTGATCGACAGGTCCTAGGTTCGAGTCCCGACGGTGGCAGGATTTTGGACACTAGCTTGTTAGCTAGGTTGAATTCAGTCGCTGTCTGGAGGAGAATTCTATGCGCTCAATGTGCCGGGCTGCTCCATGCGTTCAATGTTCCAAATCTCGTGGAATACGTGGAAAATTTGATATAAAATATTATAATTACATTCATGATAATCACACTATGTAGTTCTATTACCTGGGCTCTAATTATAATAGAAGAAACCAGCTTTATTCTGTTTTATTCTTTTAATTAAATCAGTAATTGTGAACTGTGAAAGAATAGTGATTAATGATGCTGAAAGTTTCAACAGATTATTGGTGAAATTGAATTTTCACACATGAATTCTAATACATCTGCTCATTCACAATCACATTCACATAACAATACTCTCACACCCATAAATCCATGCACAGTAGGGATTGAGTACGATCTCATACGGGATCATCTAATTTTCTGAGTTCTGAAAAACTTTGTCAGGACACAGCAATGTTCCATATTTTGTTTCATCCATATTTTTTAATTACATTTTTTGTTATTGGATACCATGTTAGGGACTTTGTTAGTGCCTCCCCGTGCATCTCATATGTCTTTGGCTTTTTTAAAATATTTACAACCTTACTACTCCAAACACAACTGTAAAGTGAAAACTTTATTTTCTAATACGTTATATTCAAAATGAAAACTGATGAAATTGCCTATGAGATACTTTGTATCAATTCTTCTACTGCCAAAAGTGTTAGACTTATTTGCTAAGGAACATTAAAAATTTTCAAAAATGCTTTAGTGCTTCATGCCTTTTGATAAACATTGCCTTTTAGTATTGGTTTTACTGCAATATCCTCAAACTTGAAGTTCAAGAAATTTCACTTTTTGAAATCAGTTATTTTATCTTTACCCTCTGAGTACCACGGTTTCACTGGAACATAAAATACCATGGGAGTGCTTTTCCAATTACACGTTTTGACAAATTTTTTTAACTGGAACATAAAAATTCTTTCAGTTGGCATCTATTGATTGATAGTAAAAAGTTCAAATGGTGTTTACACTTGTTAGAAGGCAATATTATTAAACAAAAGCAAACATTTTATTCCGAAAAGTTGCAGAAAATACCATGGGGGTCTTGCAACGACCCCAAACACATTTTTTAGGAATTGTTACATAATGTAAGGCATTTATAAATGTATCCAATGAATATGAAAATGAAATAAGATAAAAAACTCTTTGAATATTCATTGAGCCACAATTAAATCTGCTCAGGTTTTTAATGAATTTCCGTAAAATTTCCAAGAGATGAGTTATCAACGACCCCATGGTACTCAGAGGGTTAAATAAGCGAAAGTTACAGAATTTCAAATGTTTGGACAGTTTTAACTTGGAGAGAATGACTGCAAAATTTGTGGTGTATGACAGTACTGTTTCCTTTACACACGAACAGGAAAGAACCATTTTAGATCCCAAGTCAATAAATGTAAAATAAAAAAGAGCAGCGAATTATCAGAGGTGTGTTTTGTCATTTCGCAATATTTTCAGGAGAAAAAATTAGGTTTCCTGTATTGATTGTAAAACAATTCTAATGCACAAATACACGTCCAACATATAGATGCACATATTTGAGTTTGACACCTTTGATCTAATGCAGAAAGTCAATTGACATTGAAGTTGATGAATTTATGAGAGTGTGTATTCTGCAGAAATGAATTGAAATATCTTTTGTGTTGTATTTCCCCATATTGTACCTATTTCAGTTATCAGAAGCATTGGCTGAGCTTGAAGAGAGGGAATCTCAGTTGAAACAGTTAGGTGTGTGTGAGTAACAATGAACTTGATTTGGATGTACTGATTTTGAATGTTTTTGTGCACAGTATATATTTTTCTTTCTGATTGAGTAACATCAAAATATTCTATTTTTATGTGGTTTGTAATCACAGTTAGATAACATACCACATGCATATATTTATATATTTTAACATTCATTATGTGCTGGTTTTATTGAGGTTATATTTGAATTAAATTGTGAAGGAGGATCAAACTTAAATTGAAAGTTATTCAGAAGACAAAATCCTGCAATTGCTTTTGTGAAAAAGGAATAATGAAACATTGAAGTGAGATTTATGTGAAGGTGTAGATATGTATAATTTTCTGGAACGCGTATAATAATAAAAAAGTACAGGAAATATTTAGTTACCTTAAATACAATTATAAAGAAAATAGTTTTAAAGGGTTTAAAGGTGGAATGTATTTTGTCAGTTATTTATCATTATACATATAATAAGAAATATGAAATAGTTAATTTTATATAATTTTCTTAAGGTACTGATATTTTCATAACTGTAGTTAGAAAAAACGGGAATATTTTGATGTACTCAATTTTTAGCACCTGCACGAGAATTCATTCTCTGGAAGACACAATTGCATGAAATAATTTAGATGGTATTATTTATAAGCATGTTCTATTTATTATTTTCTCTTTGTCTGCTTGAATTTATTTGTATAATATTATTATTTGTATGAATTCAAATGAAGTTATGTTTCTGTGCAGTTTTTGTGGTCAAATTGATGTGTCTAGTTACTGTATATTTATTTAATTTCAGACATTAGAAAAATGTAGACATGTTATGACAAGTCTGGAAGGTTTTGTGCTCTGTAAGACTAAAAATTAATGTTTATTTTCAGTCAACAATGAAGGCGAGCAAGCAATTCAGAGCAGTATCAATTTATTGTGGCCAAGCTTTCGACCAGGAGATTCTCCTCACCCTAACTGCAAACGCAACTTGTCCCTACCACCTCGAAGTGATTCTCCTCGTAATACATTGAAACGTCCAGGAAGTGCTAATAAACTGTGAGTGAACCAATTTTTATTTTGTTAATATAATTTTTTAATTTTTCCCCAATTTTTTCTGTATATATTAATTTCCAGAGATGTGAAAGGTTTATTGCATGGTCCTTTGGTTGTAAGTGGAATGAATGAAGCCCTTTCAGATAGAATGGGAGGTGAAGAAGTTACCACACAGACAGAAGATCATCAAGATAATCGTGATATTGAATTAAATAAATCTCATTCATTTGGTGAAAAAGATCTAGATCTCCGTTCCCAGAGTTTTGGGTATGCTTGCCGCCTTTTTATATAAAATTTATCAGAAAAATTATGTACATTTTATAATTTTTATATGAAAAAGAATTGTGAAAATCAAATGGATGTAACAACAAAATGTTTTTTATGCATTTCTTTGCAGTGCTGATTCGACTCCACCAAGTTTATTGCTCAGTGAAATTAGTGGTTCTCCAAAGAAACTAGCAAGTTTGTTAGATTCTCAAATTGCGGCTTCTCGAACTGAACTTGTAAGACTTGAAGAAATTAAAAAATTGCAGGTAGAAATGCTAATATTTGTTATCAAATAGATTGTCTGCTGTTCTGTATAATATTGAAGTAGTTCGTGTGTTTATGTGTGATGCGGGTTCCAAGAACTCAAGTTCGCAGAATTTTGCTTAATGAAATTCTTTCATTTTCTAACTTCACTACCAAACATTCTATTTCTAATGTTCGTTCTTTATCTTGTGTGAGTTTATTGTATTGCTTTTTTTTTGTTTTCTGTAGGGTGAATGTGAAAATCTCAAAGGGCAATTGACAGCTGTGACTGAAAAATACAACAACTTAGCTATGAGACATATTCAGTACAAAGCTAAACGCAAAGCTCAGATTGATGACCTCAGGTTAGTGTTTCATCTGTGCATTCTAATTTGATCTGCTTATTTTATCTTCAAGGGTTATTGGTTTTCTTGAATTGAAACAATAACAGTTTTTTTCAATTTTATGTATCTACATTTACAGAAATAGGTTAGATGCAGAAATCAGTTCAATGCAATGCCAGGTAGACAATTTACAACAGCAGCTTTCTGTGCAGAAGAAAATGCTCACTTCAGAAGAATGTTTTCGGGAGCGAATTGAAACAGATTATAGACACCTACAAGAAGAAAAACGTACATTAATGGTTAGGTAAGTACAATGTAATAATAGATGTATGTATTCATTACTCCTCTTTTTGAGTTATAAATGGTGTTCCTAAAGCAATATTTTCATGTTGTTAACAGTGTAATGCAGTTGGAAGCATCGGTTAGAGATAAAGAAAGAGAAATTACTGTTTTAGGGAAAAAAATAACATTGTTAGAAAATGCTAATTCAGATCTCCTTGCTAAAGTTCTCCAGCTCAAATACACATCAGTTAGGCATTCAAATAAGAATTCAGGTGCAATACCAAAAAGTAACAGTGTTGAAGGTGTTTTGATGGACCTGGGAAGTGTATGAAATTTCATATTTTATTTCATTCAATTCACTCGGTAATTAACACAAAAAAGTAGAATAAAAATTAATATATCCTGAATTTACATCAGAAATTGCATGCTTCAGTTGTAGTTCAAGTTTTAAGTGCGTGTCTGTGTTCCACACCAATACTATTTAATTCCGAACTGAACCTAATCAAACCTGTCACCATGGTAATTTTACTAACAATGAAGTAATGTGGTATAATCTTTTTTCATCTTATTTATTCATGAAGTATGAAGTTCACCTGTTCATTTTTAATGTACCCATACTGATGCTGTCTAATTATTATTAATTAAACATTGTATATACGAATATATCGTAATTGCAGGTATCATCTGCACATGTTATATTAAGTTCATTTTGCTAGAGGCAAGAGAATTGGGGGTTCAGGTTACTTAGATGGCTATATTATCAAATCAAATCTATAGCTCATTTGTAAATTCAAATTTGTCCTATTACAAATGAGTGAAATTTCATTGTTAGTTGTCAAAACTCATTGCTGTCTTTTAGTCTTTATATTGGTACAGGAAATTGGGTAGGAATTTTGTAACTTAAGAAAATGTGTGCATATGATAACTGAAATTCTGTTCAGGAATAAAATTATATAAAATGATTGTCATTAAACAATAACAGAGTTGCATCAAAGTAAGATATAGTGAGCAAACATGCAGACCTATTTTTTTGAATGTAATTTTTTGTCACGTTGTTACAAAATCAAATATTTGAATATTTTGTGTCTTATTTATTCTTAATTAGAGTAACTGGCATTACTGTGAGATACTGGAATTCATTTGTCAGTACCGTGAATTGTTCATTGTCTTAACTCTAAAATGAATTAAAAGAAATGTTCTCAAATATATTTATTACTGTTGAGAAGGCTATATATGGAGTAATCTTACTAAATGTATTCAAAAGAAATTGACATAAAGAAATCTCACCACATTTAAAGTATTTCCATTATGCATATACTTGAACATTGTTATGTCGTACTAACAATTAAAAAATTACTAGTTCAAAATTATTTTTAGAGTGAAATTATTCCATACTTCCTCCTGAAACACTTTCTTGATCTGCCACTCTGAGAAGGATGCTACTCTGTTAATATATAATCTGACTTACATTGGTGTGAAACACACTTCATCCAAATTTAATTTCTTATATTCATTATAGCAAAATTGTGCCAAAATCTCTTTTATAACTATAATCTAAAACATCAACTAAACATGTAGATTCGATAGTGTCAAATGCACAAAATTTTATTATTTTCATTTATTAACGAAATATGTTACTATATTTTTATTCGTATATCTGTTGCAAATTATTGTTAAGAGAGAGACTACTTTGAAGCATGTACAGACTTCAAGAGTTTGCCATGAAAATGAAAATCTGTTTTTAAAGCGTTGTTTACATGTGCTTAGAATAACATTTTTATCAACAGTTAATGCAAATTATTTGATGTCTTATTCATTTCACGACTGTTTTTAATTTAATCTTTTACAATGCACAATGATATTAGAAATTATTAAGATCCTTTGGATGTATCCATTATCCAATAGACTGTATTCATACTGTTAGTATTGGAAAATTCAATCTGGATATTCAATCAAGAGGAAATTACTTCTTCATACATTGTAGAAAACTATCTCATACATGTAAACAACATATCAATATCTATACTTTTGACAATTGTATGTACATGTGTGCTTCTCTCTTCCTTTCATGTTTTGCTGGCACTTCTGCAGGTGATTTGTGAAATTATCTCACTTTTTATTTGCATTAGAAATTAAAGTTCATTGCAATGTTTTCTTATTGGGAAGTGTCAATTTTTAGGTGAACTATTAGGAAGCCTAATGTGATATAATAAGTTAGTATCTTTTTTGATTATTCAAAATGCAATTGAGTGTCTTGCATTTTTTATGGCTCTGTAGCTTAACTCTCAAGAATACAGTATTGATCTAGTCAAAAACTATTTTATATAAATCATGTTCATTAATAATATTTATGTAACAGTGAAATAAATTATGTTATTTTAGAACTTATTTAATTTGGAGTAATGCATTGTATATTATATATTTACCTAAAATATGAACAAGGTTTCATAAAATACTTGTTAGTCAGCAATAAAGTGATAAGGATGATATATATTTTTCTGACAAATTGTCTGAGGTAGTATTGAAAATGTATCCACTTAGGAAGAGTTCTTGTACCTTAAGTAGCATTTATGACTATCATATACCAATGTCCGAACTCTTCAGTTACATGGGGAGGAAGCTTCTGAACTAATGTAGCAATGTGTTAAAATATGTGTTTTTGTTATTATACTATATACTTTTCTTAGTTTCACATGAATTATGCAAATGTTTGTCATGCCAAAAACCTGTATTTTTTTCCTTTTATTCTGTAATTTATGTCCAAAAAATTGAATGGTATGTAGTGTTGCTAAGTTGCAATAAGTAGCCTAAGTGCATTTTATTTAATTTAAATTTTTTTCTATCTGTTATGTCTTATGTTTATTAAGACTTTGGGGGGGGGGCAAATTTATTGCATTATTTTTAAAATAATATGAATAAAAGCATTATTTTAAAAATAATACAAATAATCACATCAATTCTATTTTCATTAATGTAATAATTGGGTAAGAATGAGTACTGTGTTATTTTGTACAGTTCTATGCTTCAAAATATCATAAAAATATTTCTTTCTAAAGGAAATATGCACTTTTCTTTTATTGGAATTTTTCTTGATTGTTCAGAACAAAAAATACATGCTGAAGTACATTAGGAAGTGTGAATAATTTATTGCAAATTGTAATGTTTGTAGTTTAAATGTTTTTTGTATTAAAATACACAAATTACAATCTGAGTTTGTGTTCTGAACTTTCAAGTTATGTTCAATTGTCAATGTGAAGTTTATGGCCACAAATAATTTGAAAAAGAATATTCTCTTGTATTATTATTACTTTTGCCATATGCTAGACATTTTTCTTTATCTGTCCAAGGGCTGCTTCTTTTTATGTGTGATATAAGCACCACACATTCTTGCCAACTGAAAGGTAACGGTTGAATGCATTTCTGCATGATATGCTGCCAAATATTATTATTAGATAAAGTACTATACAAATGTCAGGAGATCAAACATATATACATTTTTATGATAGTTCTGTGTTACTAATGTAAGTCGTACTCATGGTTGTGGATCTCACTACACTACAGTACACTCACCATTTTCAGTCACTCAGTATTTCTGTGTGCTGTTTCCCTACTGGTTATGGACATTGTGTAGAAAAATCACAATTGTCATAACCAGACAGAGAATTAGTTTTATAAAATTCGAAAAGAAGTATTTTTATTGCTGCAGTTTTATGCCACATTTTATGTGAAGTCTTTCATTGTAATTCCAAATAACCATTTATGACTTCCATTTGCCATTTATACTCTTCCTAAAAATATATTTCTCTAATTAGTGTAGTAGTTGAATCCGTCCAGTGCTTTTGCTGTTCGGGTCAATATGTAAATTCTTCAAGAGCTATGTACTGGTAGTACTTATATTTACCAACAATGCCAAAACTGAATGTATCTCTAACTAATTTGGACAAACTGTTGTTGTGATGAATATTGTGTCCAATCTGAAATACTTTGTGCTGTGTGTGTTTGGCTAAGTGTAGGTATCTTAGGTACAGAATTCATTGCATTTATAAATTTCTATTGAAATTTAAGTAATTTTAATTCATTTATCAAGAGACTTTTTTAACTTCTGTGTTCTATTTGTTTCTTATGGTTGTGAAGGGAGTGGTGAAGTTGAGACCAAGTATTTTTTTATATTAAGGTGCCAAAGATATAATTGTTACAAGTTGAACGTCTCTCTTTAATCTTCCATATGTTATGGGTTGTATATAATATAGATTTTAAAGTGCCAAATAAAGTATTTGTAAAACAATTTTTGCTTTATTTCTCAAATCAGTACCAATTTAGAATAGGCAGTGTGTCACTATGGAAAAAACAATTTTATAGGAAAGGTGCTAAAGACAATGAATCAAACACTAAATGAAATTACCATTTTTGTTCAATAAATAGCCGTTAATACATCAGAAAGTTAACTGAATTATCGACACACAATGCTTTGCGCCTTATAGGAATTTTCGCGTGATGTTACCCCTTCTCCGTTTTCATAGATTTGTTTACAAGCATTGGCGAGGCTCACTGCGCATGCGCGCTCGTCACACGTGACGGTGGAATCAAAACAAAACCGGCCGGAGAGGCAGCGCTGGCATTTGAAGGTAGCGTTGTTGTCTCGCTGTTCTGAGAGCTAAGTTAGCGCGTTGGAGTGGAGTTAGGCAGCTTGTGAGGGTTTGGTGGTATCAGCCCCTACCTCAGTGTACCTGATTTTATTTGTGATTTATATTTAAGACTGAGTTATTCAAGATGATGGAGCAGGAGATTATTAACGGACACGATACAGACATTGATGTGCCGGAGGTACGTCAAAATGGCGTCGTGAATGGTGAAGATTCTGGAAACGCCGGCAATGAAGTCAATACGGGCGTGGACTCTGTTTCTGCCGACCATAGAATTAAGAGGAAAGCTAAGAGACTAATCAAGCAATTGAGCAAGGAAGTTGTCACAAACGGTACCTCAGTCATTCCCAGTACTCGCTTCCTGAAAAACAGCCGTAAGCCGAGGAACGGATTCGGCAGAGGCCTTCCCAAGAAAGGTAATTATTTCCGCACCAGAATTTAAAATATATTGTAATGTAGCGTAAATGTAATTGTATACATTTCGATTTATAGTTATAATTTTCCTTATGTATGTACGCTTGTTAAAATTTACGGGCTTGATTTGTTATTATCGATGCAGTTTGTTCAGGTACTGTTGTTACGTTTTGATACATTAAGGACGTGATGTTCTCAATGTTTGTTGAAACTTTCAATATGGTTTGTATGTGAATTTACTTTCATCCCTAACCATTGTCACACTGCATTCTTTCGCATCGAAACGTATAATTAACGTGCCTACAGCCTTATCTTAAAATGAATGTTTTACCTTGCAATACTTTTTCACAAAAATCCCATTTATTCAATAATTCTTCAATTTTATCAATAAATGTATCTTAAGCGATGAGATAGAAGTCCACCGAAAATATATTTTTGGTGCTAATGGTTATCACATTAAAATAATGTGACGTGAATTGTAACGCTTCATGTTCAGTTATTGAGCGTGCATTTGACGTGTGTAGTCGGCGTAGCACTTACAGCTGTTATGACGGGAGATAAGTTTGGTTTATAATTAGTGAGCAATGAAGACTTGCGATTCCGTAGCACCGGATATAGGGAAATGTTTATTTCATGAATGAAACTACACGGAAGTTAATTCGGAAAAAGTCACAAAATTATATTCAGTTTCTGAAAAACGTTGAGGCTTTTAATGACAAGTAGCGTTTATCGCAATGGCGGAATAAATAGTTAACAGAAACAATATTATTGTGAATGTTGACACGTGCTTATTATTGATTGCAAAGACAAGGCGTACGTCTTATGTTTAGCCTTAGAGCTGTCTGTCGTTGAACTGTATGTAGGTCACATCCCTACGACGACGCTAAGAATGTCTTGGTCTTATCTCATTTCGAACTACGAAGGTATTTTAGAATGTTTCGTCAATAATATGAGGGGGGAAACATTTATTATGAAATTATCTCATCGAATAACAGCATTAGGTACTAGGGGCTTCGGAAATTCAAACGCCTGAACGCGTATAGCCTTTGTTTGGCTGACTCAAAGTAATGGAATAGAGATTAAGAGGTCCAAATGTAATATTTCGGCGGGAAACAGTTTTTGGATGAATGTGGAAAAATAATAAATGGTTTTATTTCTATTATGTATGTAGTTTCATAAAAACTATTCAGATAAATTACTTGAAAATCAGTTCTAAAGTTATCTAGATTCCAAAACGACAAGTGTTGCATTTTGATCCTCATCTCCTCCTCGGGTATATGTATCATTTGTATTCGACAACTCAAGAAATAATTCATTTTGACATGATTGTCGTTTGATTTGTACTCTCTAATGCAATTCTGGCACTGCTACAGTAGATGGTAGCATAGTACAATGCTGTAAAAATCGTCACCAATCATTGCGTACAACTTTTCCGATCATATTGATAGAAGATCTTAGTTTTCTTCTTTGACTAGCCTTTTCGTAAATTCCGTATAACTGTTTCGAAAACTCGATATGTTGGTTAAAATCTATGCTGTCTGCCTGGGTCATGTTCCATTTGTTTCAAGTATTTGTGATCCATTGCAAAATAACCGAAATGTATCAATTACTGATTGTGCGACATAATAAAGTAGAACTGTTGTATAAAGCATCTCTGCTTACTTGATCATAAATCAAGGTTGAAAATGTTGAATTCTGGTTCTAATTTCAAATATCTGGCATCTATTTAAAGCTGAAGAAGTGCATTTTGCTGTTACCTATATTATGAACTACGTAGATTTGAACCACTAAAACTCGCTACCCACTCAAAAGTGGAAATACTGCTTATAGTGATTGACCTCTTCAGAAACTTTTTTTTCACCGTTCCTATGTTTTCATTTATTGCACAGATGTGATGAATTAATTTGTTTGAAATATTAATGAACTTTTCGTAAATGCGGAATGTCGTAAATGAAGCAATTTCCAACCCAAGTTTCCCAGGAAACGAAAAACAGGTTTTATAAAAGTAAATGAAACTGCATCGTGCATTATTTTGTGAAATTGCCTAAAAACATTGCGATTCCAGTTTTACATTTTGGATTTTCTAGCATTAAGGAAGACATTAAAAAAATAATGAAAATGGTCCCTGTCGCTAGGGTTTTTGAAAATTGCCGTATTTGTTTCGTCATTTTTAAATGTAATGGTTGTCAAGTTAAATGGAAGTGGTCTGACTCCAATTCGTCAGACGCTTCACAAATGTGAAAATGTCAAGCGGAAACCTCTTGACTGTGTATGTGAGGGGGGGGGGGCACAGGAAGGTGGTTACGTTTCTGCATCCCCCTATTAAGGGACGGATCCAGTCGTTAATTTTTGGGGGAGGGCATTGTTATTGTTAAATTATATATATATATCATTGTATTGTATATTATGTCTTGTAGGTATGATACTATGCAATATTATTTAAATAATAATTCTAACATAAATAACTATTTAAATCAATTTTGCCCAACAAAGGAAGGTAAACGAAAAAAACTACAGGCCTTTTTTTTAAGGGGGGGGCATGGCGCCCCCACCCCCCATCCGCGCCATGGATCTGCCAATGCCCCCTTTCCAATATGTTTTCACTTACATATGACGTACTATCAAGTAAATAAAACGAACAATGAGAATACAATTATATCTTTAATAGTATGATTAATAAATATAAAAATATATTTTATTATAGATTGTTTATAGGTTGTCCATTAGTATCTTCCTGAAATGTCATATAACAATTCTCCAAATTGTGTTTTTAAGAAAGGGGAGAGGGGTCAGAGTTTGAATGTTACAGAAATAATGTTTTATTACATCTACGTCCTTTCAAAATTTTCAGGAAGGGGCAAGGACCTCTGAATATTTTATTGTAATACTAGTTTAAATTACTGATAGCTGCTCGATTCCTAGGTATGATATATAAAAATGTTTGCCCATGTGAATTTTCGTGGAAGATTTCATTAGTGCTACGCTATATTAATGCATGTTTAATACATACGTGTTTAAAGTGTCCCTTGGAATCACCTTGACAATATGATCTCGAAAATCGGTCATAAAATCCGTGTTTAAGGTTCTTTTCAGCTGTTACTTCTCAACAAACGTCCGGATTAAGGTCTAGTGGCGCTGTTTCAAAAATGGTTTGGATTGGTGCGGATCGAAAGGATGCATGTAATTTTGTACCCGAAAATCGATTTGTATAAATGGGCAGATATGTTGCATAACTCTTAGGTTAGATGCTTATGAATTGAAACTTTGTTAATACGTCAAGAGTAAAATAAAGTTGTGCCATTCCAGGTATCATTGAGATATTTTAATTTAGAGTGCTTTACATGTAGCCCCTACGACATTTTCTGAAAAATTAACATTTTTTTCTTGTTAGAAGAAAGTGCATTTATAAGTATGACATACTTGCGATCCTCTGACATTTAAAAAATTGCAAAAATCGTATCTAAACACAGAGTATTCTTTTAGAAAGAATTTTCACCTCTCCACCCAAACATATTTCTTAATTTTTCTTTAAATAAAAAGTAGTGAACTCTGTATGTTTTAAAGCTTGCTATTATTAACCGGTTTTATAGTATAACTAGTATATTTTATAAAATTTAATAAACCGGAGCTTGTCTGCCGTTATTTGTTCATTATTTCTTGTGTGAGTTGTAATTTATCTATTGAAATCATTCGACATTTCCTCGTCGGGAAAACACGCGGGTTGTTAGCGAAGCAAATAGAGCGAGTTTTCGTAAGTTCGAAGAGTATTTTTAAATACAAAACTTTGTGGAGAAATGCAAACGAAATGTCAAGCTTTTCTCAGTGGTTATAATTATGTTGTGGTTTACGTTTTTAATGGAAGGTAGACAGCAGGATTTCTTTGCCATATGTCCCTAACATCATATATGTACAGATCTTGGTAAATATAAAACATTTCCTTTACATTTTCAGAAAGATATTGAACTGGGTTCAGTGATAAATAATATTGTTCCGGAATGTGTAAACCCTTTCATTTCATTATTCTTTGGGACTTAATACTGAGAAATATGAATCGACGTTTATGGGATTTTCTACTTTGCATATAAAGAATATACGGATGGTTCCATCAACTATGGGCCACCCCCCTAAATTCTTAAACGGTTCACGAATAGTGCTGTAGTTATCGCTCAAAATGCGAAATAATGGGTGCAAATAATATGTCCGTAATATTTTTCGCTTTCGAGAAATT